CTCTTAATTTCGCTAATCAATTTCTTTTCCTTCATTTTCTGGATTTCCTCTTCCAAAAACTCTTGCTCACTAGGTGATACTCTATATACATGTTGTTTAATCGGCTTCGCTTCTCCCGTGTCGATTTCATGCTGTACTTCGTCAGTCTGTCCCAGTTGATCTAATCCGTCGGTGAAGGCTTCCTTATTTTCTTCTAGTAAGTGAATAGCCTGCTTTCGTTGGTCGTCGTTGATGACTTTGTTATTTACTAATTCTTCTATTACTCCTTCCAGAGGTTGTATGGGTCGTTTGGTTTCTTCAAGTGTCGGAACTTCTTCGATTGTCGTCAAATATGCTGCCGGGCTCTGCTCGTCGATCCATGGGTTGGTATATAAGTCCTCCTGATTATCGGTCAAATAACTTTCTACTTCATCTAAATCTTCTTCCTCATATGTGTCGAAATAATCATCTTCCTCGTAATCCTCTTTCTTCTCTTCTTCCGGTTCCTCTAGTTTAGCTTCTTTTTCTTGGTAAATAGGTAGCTCTATACTTTCTCCTTCATGGGTAATGATCAATTTTTGTTCGTCAAAATATAGGCGTGCATGTAACTTCTTAAACCAACTCATTCCTAATAGCATCATTTCTTCCGTAGATTCTATAACTTGAAAGTTTGTTGGTACAGTGATTCTTCCTAGTTGTAATGCTACATCCTTCAATTTTCCTAAAGCTCTTTCCCGTGTTCCGTTCACGGTGACGACAACAGCGTTAGATGGTTCCGAAATCTGTAGTCTGAGCTTGGTAAACAATTTCTTTGACATAATGCTCACTGCAGCTCCAGAGTCCAATACTGCTACTACTGGTTTGTTTCTTATCTTCATATTACATCTAGCTGCTGAGGTTCGTTGAGGCTGGTCTTCCACATAGTCAACTTCTGCGGGAGTGATGATAGGTCGTTTCAATACTTGTGCCAGGTGCTGTCGTTGCTTCAGAATTTGTAGTAGTTGGGCATACGTGGCATTAGCTCTCTAATTCAACAAGTCTTTTGCAACATTGTATAGGGGTGCTTGGTCTATTACTGACGGTCCTCTTTGGCGCTTGATTCGCGACGTGGCATTCTTAACTTTCTCTTTTGCAGGTTCCGCCGTGATCTCCATTTCTACTGGTTGTGTTGATTGGGTGCGCTCTTCCTGTTGTGCCGGTCATGCTTGTTGTCGTGGCTGGTTCACAGTTCTTCCAGTATGTTCCTTACTCAATTCACTCTTTTTAGGACGATTAATGGTATATGGCTGGTGTCGTGATCTAGTAGCAATGTAAGCTTCGTCGTCGCTGTTCTCTACTTCGCAAAGGTTCGCATCACGAAGGTTGGTAACTTGTGGTGGCATTCTCCTTGGCGGCTCGGAGCATTCACGGGCTCTATGTCCTTGTCTTCCACAATTGAAGCATCCGGTGGGTTGGTAACTCTGGTTTCTAGTATTTTCCTTTTCTCTTATCATTATGGTCAGCTTTAATGACATCTCTTGTACTTGTTTCGTTAGGCTGCTGATGGCGTCGTTAGCTGGGTTACTCTCCTTTCTTCTGCCAGTATAGTATTCTCCAGCTTCCAGTTTTTATGCACTTGCGATCGCATCATCTAGTGTAGTGGGCTCTACCAGTGGCATTAACCTTGCAATCTCTTCTTTCAATCCGCCAGTGAACAATTGGATGACATATGTAGTCGGCAGGCGATGTTCCGAGTTTACGCGTCTTAGCAACTGCTTGAACCGATATGCGTAAGTATCCACCTTTTCTTCATTCTTCTGTATTATCATATTGTGAGGGTCTTTCAAAGTCCTCTCGAATATTTAGGTTTTTAAGGCTGAGGCATAATAATTTGGTCTGAGTATTCTACTCTTTCTCTACAAAATAAACTCAAATTCATCCATTAACAATGCGCATTCGTCTATTCAAACTATACCTAAGTTCCTGTTGTAGCAATGGGCATTCACACTCTCAAACTACTTGAAACTCTTCCAAAGTCCTT